TTATGCATTTTATATTTGTTTTCATGCCGATCGTATCATTTTATTTCGTCGTGTTTTTCCGCCACAACTTGAAGGCCGGTCCGTGGACATATTGTCTTACATGAAAGCGGTCCGTGGTGCAAAAAAGGTTGTGGACCTCTGATCGAGACGTAAATAAGGCAGCGTCTATTCATTGTTTGTACCATATGGTTTACACACACACATGTATACACATAGTTTGGTCCGGTCTCTATTGATATGAGGTATCGTAGAGCTCTGGGTGAACACAGACGGCTACAGTATTTATTTCCTGATTCAACAACGTAAACATGTTGGAGTCCTTGCTGAGGAGGAAGGGAGTTCAACAGCAGGGTAAATCACTACAGAATCCTACTTTTGTTCCGTTTTGAAGTGAGGAACGTAACATCCCTCCAGTAGCTCTTCTGGTGCTGGTGTTTACGCGTTATCCAGGTTGACATGCATGACAAGTTAGCGTTAGCTCGTTAATAACAGTAGTAAAGCAGGGGTGGTATAGTTTGCAAGACTAAAGACACGTTTTTATTCACTCGCCTTTTTTGGCCCATTAATAACCGATTCATCGATCAATCGAAAAAATAATCGCCAGATTAATGGATTATTAAAATAATTGTTAGTTGCAGCCCTAGATTCAAGGTATTTCTTATACTTCAGCCAAACTGCTATCCCAACATTATAGGAACAAACGAGCAAACCCTCTAGTAAGCAAAGCCTTTATACATGAAGATATTAACATGTTGATATATTCTATGTACTCCTGACAGTAGAGTAAGCCACTATAAACCTATATGAAAACAGTCAAGGAAAAAGAAAATACCGTGAAACCGCCAGAATCTTAAAAAATACCGTGATACAAATTTTTGGTCATACCGCCCAGCACTACCTCTACCTGTCTGTAGAGTTGTTATTATACCGACACCAGTACTGGAAATATATTCTAATTCTAGTTTAATATGTTTTACGCTCATATACAACAACAGGTGTGCATCCATACATCCAGTTGCACACGTCCCGCTCCGTACATCCGGTTCCACACGTCCCACTCCGTACGTCCGGTTCCACGCGTCCCGCTCCATGCGTCCGGCTCCATGCGTCCCGATGCTCCTTGCGTCCCGATGCTCCTTGCGTCCTGCTCCATACGTCCTGCTCCATACGTTCCGATCCATACGTCCGGTTCCTTGCGTCTGGCTCCATATGTCCCGATGCATTCCATTCGTCCGGTTCCTGGCGTCCGGTTCCTGGCGTCCGGTTCCTGGCGTCCGGTTCCTGGCGTCCGGCTCCATTCGTACCGCTCCACGCGTCCTGCTCCATACTGCCCTGTACCTGTTGGCTACATGTTGACCTAACTTTCTACCTGTCTGTCTACCTGTCTGTATCTCAGTGAGGTCAGAGGAGGCCCTGTACCTGTTGGCTACATGTTACTACCGCTCGGGGAAGCCATATAAAGCCTACCGGCTGCTGAAGGCTCACAGCTGCTCCACACCGCAGGTTCGATTCTTGTTGGCAAAGTGCTGCGTCGAACTCAGCAAGTAAGCACACAGAACTAGTTAAAACTAGTAAACCTAGTCGTACTTTCGTACCAGTAGAAACAGACATTTTTATGTCTTTCAATGGAGCTGTTAATTCTGAGACATTTGAAAATGACTAAAGCTGTCCACCTGTCTCTCTCTTTATCTACCTCTCTGTCTGTCAGGCTGGCTGAAGGAGAACAGGTTCTGATTGGTGGAGTGCTGAACAAACAGAAGAGTCAGGATGACATCATCACAGAGTTTGGAGACTCCGCCCCCTTCACACTGTCGTTACTGGGACACATTTACTGGTAAAACAGTTCAGTCAGTCTGCTACCGGTGTTAATGATGTTGGACACCAGTTTACTGACCCATCTCTCTCTCTCTCTCTGTCTGTCTGTCTGTCTGAGCAGTAAGACAGATCGTGTTGCTAAAGGTGCAGAATGTTTCCAGAGGAGTTTAACTCTGAATCCGTTCCTCTGGTCGCCTTTCCAGAACCTCTGTCACCTAGGTAATTCACAGACACACACACCTGACCAGGTGAGTCCTGACACTAACTAACATCATCATGTGATTTACTTCTGTGTTCCAGGAGAGAAACCAGATCCAGATCAAGTCTTTAGGTTGTCCTCTCTACACAACTCTTCTATAACACCGCTGCCTCCTTCTGTTAGCCCCGCCCAGAACCCCCCCCACCGCCTAGACACCGCCCTCATGGAGACGCCCCAGGACACCCTGGTATATAAAACACACCTCCACTACTCAGATTACTGAGGGTTTAATTAACTTTCAGTTTCAATGTCTTAAATCTGATTATCAGATTAAATGATCACATTAATGAGGTGGTTGTAGTCTGATAATCAAATTAGATGATCACATTAATGAGGTGGTTGTAGTCTGATAATCAGATTAGATGATCACATTAATGAGGTGGTTGTAGTCTGATAATCAGATTAGATGATCACATTAATGAGGTGGTTGTAGTCTGATAATCAAATTAGATGATCACATTAATGAGGTGGTTGTAGTCTGATAATCAGATTAGATGATGTTGACATGTTTTGTTTCCTTCTCAGGAGTTGAATCGTTTGAATCTAGAATCGTCTAACGGAAAGCTGATGTCTGATTTGTCGGTTTCCTACATTGACTCCTCCCTAATCTCCCCGGAGACTGGCTCCCTATTGGGTAACTCGGTTTCCATGGCGTCAGCTGGCTCCTTGTTGGCTAAACAGAACAAGCCCAAAAGTGGGCGGAGTTTACTTGGAGGACCTGCAGCACTCAGCCCGCTGACACCCAGGTGAGTTCTTGAACACATGTAACACCTCTACAGGTAAATGTTCCCATTTAACTCTATTGAAACCTGTATGAGGGGAAATTCAACCCACCAATAGAAACACTGCTGCTCTCTGTGATCAGTCGACTAATAGAAACACTGCTGCTCTCTGTGATCAGTCGACTAATAGAAACACTACTGCTCTGTGTGAAACACCTTGTTTTACAGTTTATTAATATTTGTTTATTACCCATGACATCACATCTTTTTAACCCAATGAGGGAATTTATATGAATACAAACGTAAAGAGAGTCCCCGTCTGTTGGTTTACCCGTCTGATGGTTTACCCCTCTGTTACAAGGTAATAAACACACAGGGACCTAACTAAGCCCAGACACCAAGTTAAACCTCTTACGGTGAGAGGACATGTTGGTGGTCCTTGTTGGTGGTCCTTGTTGGTGGTCCTTGTTGGTGGTCCTTGTTGGTGGTCCTTCTTGGTGGTTCTTCCGAGTTTCTTGGTTAAACTCGGGTGCGGAGCTTTCAGCTGCCCGAAAATAAAACCTGTGTGTTGATGACCTTGATGAGCGAGTGCAGTCGCACTTGCTGCTTGCTCTTGCCTCTGCTTGCATTTTCTTGCTTCAATTTGCCAGATATACCACATATATCACTCTTCAACGTTTGAGTGAAGACAAATCCAGAAAGTCGTCGAGCTATATGGGTTGTTAGCTAATGCTAACTAGCAGCTAAGCTAAAGCTAAGTAGCAGCAAGATGCCTCCCTTCTCCACGGACGACTACTACAAACTCCTACAGAAGATTGCAGTCTTGGAAACAAAAATCCACTGACTAGAAGTAAACGTGGAGGTAAATGGACTGTGTGGGAATGATACCACTTTACCATGGACTCAAAACACTGGAGAAACGCAAGCTAAGACACAGCTAACTATCACAACCAGGCCTACCAAGAAACAGGAGGAGAGAGCAGATAATGAATCTTCAAATGGTAGTCCTCCCTGGAACTCTCTCGGTGCAAAGCCGAAGAGAAAATCATACCCTCAGGATGTGGGAGGACGACTAACAGGCAGAGCCCAGCGCCCTGAGATTTGTGATGCGACTGGCTGGCCTACACTACCACACAGGCAGAACTCCTCTTCAACCCCTGCACTCAGACGGACAAAGCCAAGGACAGCTGAGAAAAGTAAAACCTCCACAACAACCAAGCCTACAATTTCAAAACAGATTTGCTCCATTGTCGCAGGATCCTAAATCTCCATCTGATGACCTGGATAAGCAGCTATCTCCTCAAAGCAGGGTAAGAGAGTAAAAGGCCGCAGGCAAAGCTAATGACTGGGCCTGAGACTCTGATTGTTGGTGACTATGCTGTAAAAGATGTCAGAACACTGTGCAGCGAGAATACCAAAATACTCTGTTTTCCGAAAGATATGGTCTCTGACATGAGAGACAAAATCCTGGACATCGTGGCTGACTATCCCACGGTGAAAAACATCATCGTGCATACAGGAAGCTGTGATATTGTGAAACAACAGTCTGAAGTTCTGAAGCGAGACTTTATTGATCTGTTAAACACAGTCAGCTCTGTCAAGGCTGAGGTGTTTATCAGTGGCCCTCTTCCACCAGTCAGAGGAAGCGATGAAGGATTCAGCAGGCTGTTTGCACTGAACAAATGGCTGTCAACTGCATGTACTGACCATTCAGTACATTTTATCAACAATTTCTACTTTTTCTGGGAGCGTAGACATCTTTTTGAGGCACATGGAGTTTGCTTGAACAAGTCAGGGGTAAAACTGTTTACCTCTAACCTATTTTTCTCCCTGCGTCATCCGTCTGTTCCTACTGCCAAGGACAAGAGACAAGAGGAGACTAAATAAGAGAACCACACAGCATCGCCATGGAGACCTTACGGGAAGGATGCCCCCGCCTAGCGACAGCCAAAAGGAGGAGTCTCCAACCTCATCATCAGGGACCGCCTCTGATCTCCCACTTTCCCCACCCTTCCGAGACGAGGAGTCTTTACCTCCCTCCCCAGCACCTACTTCCACCCCCCAAACTCCATCCAGGTCCCTTTCCTCTCTTGCACTCTCCCAATCCTCCCCCCACCTGGAGTTCACTGACCACATGAAAGAGCTGGTCATTGCTGGAACCAAACGCACTCCTCGCCCCACTCCTCGACGTACAGCTCCAGCCCCACCCCCGAAACTGGCTCCTAGTCCTCAGCCAGTTTTGACACAATCGGCGAAGTTAAAGCGCCCTGCCCGTCCTCCACCTCGGCTCCACAACCATCCTGTCTCCCCTACCTGATAAAGGCAGGGCAAGGCAGGCCGGTGCAGAGGACTCGGAGCTGGAGTGATGTGATCCACTATCTTGGAGGCTATAATTGATATCTTCTGGGTCCAGGCTACAAGGCTAATGACACCAATGACTCTCTCCAGGAAAAGTCGGGGCCCTGTATGCAGCTAGCCTTCTCAATTCCTGTCCTGTTAGTTTATAGAAAAAGAAAGGTGAGGCTGCGAAGAAACAATAGTAAACCATCAAACTTAACATACATTCCTCGTCAGCCTGTCCAAATAAATTGGGCAAAGAAAGCTTTAACCACATTAAACTTAGCTTTATTAAATGTCAGGTCTCTGCCAGGAAAAACATTTTTAATCAATGATTTTATTGTTAGGCACAAACTGGACATTTTATTTTTAACTGAAACTTGGTTAAATCAAGATAACAGTGCAGCTGTTCTTATTGAATCAACAGCTCACAACTTCAGGTTCATGAGTGAAACAAGAGTGCATAAGAAAGGAGGTGGAGTTGCTATTTTATTTAATGATTCTCTTCAATGCAAGCAGATGTCCTTTGGTCATTTTAGTTCTTTTGAATATGTGGCTCTGAATTCCACTCGAGCTTTATTCCTAAACATTTACAGACCGCCTAAATACTGTGCAACCTTCTTTGATGAGTTTACTGAACTGCTGTCTATAATCTGTATTGATTTTGACTGTGTTGTTATTGCTGGTGATTTTAATATCCATGTTGATAATCCCCAGGACAGAGGGTCTATAGAACTATGTGATGTCCTTGATAACTATGATCTGACTCGGCATGTGACAGGACCCACCCACAACAGGGGGCACACTCTGGACCTAATCATCACCAAAGGTGTAAACATTTCCAAGGTCGCTGTGACTGATGTTGCACACTCTGATCATTTCTGTGTTTTCTTTGAGAGTGCAATCTCCTTGCACACAAATGTCCAAACCGAGGTTGTGACAAAGCGTTACATCTCTGAAAACACCAGTGAACTATTTATTCAGAAGTTCTGCTCCTCACCAGCCCTCTCTTGCATCTCAGTCAATGAGCTTGTAGATGGCTTCAATTTTAAAGTTAAAAATATTATTGATGCCATTGCACCCACTAAAGTGAAGATTGTCTCGGGTAAGCAAAGATCTCCTTGGAGAAATGCTACGCTGGTCAGAATAGATAAACGAGAGTCGGAAAGCTGAGCGCAGGTGTCGAAAAACTAATCTCCAGGTTCACTGTGACATGACATCTATAAAGAGAGACTTTGCAATTATCATTTGGAACTTAGAAATGCAAGGCAGTCCTCCTTCTCTGACATCATAACCAAAAACAATAACAATACACGCGCCTTATTTGCTACCGTCGACAGGCTAACAAAATCCTCCAGTGTCGGTAGCTGCTGAGCTCCAATCCACCTGGGCATGCAATCAATTTGCCTCCTTTTTTACTGACAAAATTCAGAAAATTAGACAAGCAGTCAGTGCCTCCACACCAACCACAGGATATGTGTTGTCCCCATCTCTGAATAACATCCATTCAAATATCATGACACAATTTCATTAAATCGACCGTAGAAGCCTAGAAGACATTATACAACATCTGAAGTCATCCTCCTGCTGCTTGGATATTCTACCAACACACTTTTTCAGAAATATTTCAAACTGCATGACCGCTGATCTTTTACAAATTGTAAACACATCCCTTCTCTCAGGTGTCTTCCCACAAGCCCTAAAAACTGCAGTTATTAAACCGCTCCTAAAGAAGGCTAGTTTAGACTCCGCAACAATGAAAAATTATAGGCCAATATCAAACCTCCTATTTTTAAGTAAAATAATTGAAAAAGCGGTTTTCCAACAGCTGAACAAATTCTTGGCCGTAAATAACTGCTTTGATGTCTTCCAGTCAGGCTTTCGACAGCACCACAGTACTGAAACTGCTCTTGTTAAGGTTTTCAACGACATCCACTTAAACACAGACAATGGCAGAAGTTCAGTCTTAGTATTACTGTATCTCAGTGCTGCATTCGACACGGTCGACCATGCCATACTCCTAGAAAGACAAAAAATCTGGGTGGGACTTTCTGGAACAGCGCTTACCTGGTTTGAATCCTACTTGAAGGACCGAGAATACTTTGTGTCTGTAGCGAATTACACATCAGAGCTGACTAAAATGACATGTGGTGTTCCCCAAGGTTCAATACTGGGGCCTCTTCTGTTCAACATCTACATGCTTCCACTAGCTCAGATTATGGAAAACAACAAAGTGTGTTATAATTATGCAGACGACACACAAATCTACATAACTATATTCACCAGGGGACTATAATCCCATACAAGGGCTGGGTAACTGCGTTGAACAAATCAACAACTGGATGTGCCAGAATTTTCTTCAATTAAACAAAGATAAAACAGAAGTAATTGTTTTTGGTACCAAGGACGAAAGATTGAAAATCACCGCTCGGCTTCAATCACTGATGTTAAAACCCACAAACCAAGCCAGAAATCTAGGTGTAGTTATGGATTCAGACCTCAACCTGAACAGCCATATCAAGACAATTACAAAATCAGCCTACTATCACCTGAAGAATATATCAAGGATTAGAGGACTTATGTCTCAACAGGACTTGTAAAAACTTGTCCATGCATTTATCTTCAGCAGACTGGACTACTGTAACGGTGTGTTTACAGGTCTCTGCAAAAAGTCTGTCAGAAAGCTGCAGCTGATTCAGAACGCTGCAGCTCGAGTCCTCACTAAGACCAGGAGGGTGGATCACATCACTCCAGTTCTGAGGTCTTTGCACTGGCTTCCTGTCAAACAAAGAATTGACTTTAAAATCCTGCTGTTGGTTTACAAAGCACTGAATGGTTTAGGGCCAAAATATATCTCTGATCTGCTGCTACCTTATGAACCATCCTGACCCCTTAGGTCGTCTGGGACCGGTCTACTTTTTGTTCCCAGAGTCAGAACTAAACATGGAGAAGCATTCAGTTTTTCTGCTCCACATATCTGGAACAAAGTCCCAGAAAGCTGCAGGTCTGCTGAGACCCTCAGCTCCTTTAAATCAAGATTGAAGACTTTTCTGTTTGCTGCTGCCTTTAATTGAACCAGATTCAATTAATATATTAATCAATTTCCTGCATTTCTGCATTTTACTACTGTATTTTATTTCTTGCACTGTTTTTTAATGAATGTTCTTAATTGTTTTTAAATCTCCTTTTCTTTTGCCTTATGCGTTGATGCTTTTAATGGTTTTATGTGAAGCACTTTGAATTACCTTGTTGTTGAAATGTGCTATACAAATAAACTTGCCTTGCCTTGTGTTGGCAGAGCGTTTCCTCTGAAATAAAGGGTATTCTACTTCCTTATAACCGGCACAAAGTCAACATTAACGGGCAGAGAACGGGGCGTAATCTGTTCTCAGGATCGAAAAACAAAACAAAAACAGTCTGACCTAGGTTCTTTTAAAAGCAACAGTTCTTCTCCGTGCCTCCTTCTCCGACGCGAGTCAGACGGGAAAGGCGGTGCGTTAAGGTACACTGTGATATTTTATCAACTCGGTGACATCTGGTCATAAACCCGGCAGTCCCGCCTCGGCATTCCTGGCCTCGTACAATGAGGACCCAGCGAACTCAGCCTTGAGTTTTGGTCAACCAAAACTCAGAATTCACACGTAGGTGTAAAAATGTTTCTTGGGGGTTTGGTGTTGTTATCTTAACTCGGATCAGGCTTTTGTCTTTTCCTTTGATGAGCAGCACATGGTCCCAACACTTCTTTACCTTTTGTCTTTTCCTTTGATGAGCAGCACATGGTCCCAACACTTCTTTACCTTTTGTCTTCTTACAGACAAATGTTTACATCATTCTTAACATTCATTGTTTTCTATAGTTTTGGCATTCTGCCCCTGGAGCCCAGCCCAGGAGACCCCACGTATCTACAGAACTATTCAGCTACCATGGAAACACAATCGACGGCTCCGAGCAAGAAGGTACACACGCACTCTAAACACACACACTTTACACACATTATACACACACATTACACATATAGGGGCTGCTCTACAAGAGACCTGCTGAAGCTTCATGATGAACCTGGTTCGTTCTGTGTGTGTCTCTCAGTCTGTCTCCAGGATCAGTCAGTCAAAATCTGTCTTCAGTCAGAGTGGAAACAGCAGAGATGTTCTCCCCATCCCCTTCAACCAATCACAGAGCTCCGCCCCTCACACTAGGTAACTATAGCAGCCACTCTGTCCGTCTGATGACCTGTCTGTCTGTTGACATATCTGTCTGATGACCTGTCTGTCTCTCAGTGGCTCCCCTCAGGTCCTCAGTCCCAGTATGTCTGGTCCTCCAAACGTTCAGCCCAGAAGAAGCTCCAGACTGTTTACTAGTGCCAGTTCTACTGCCAAGGTACTGTTACTACAGTAATACTGCAGTACTACAGCACTATAATGCTGAACTAATACTGATTGAAGGAGTACTTTACGGTGGAGTACTTTACAGCATCCTAACGTCTGTCTCTGTTTCTGCAGGAGAACAGCAAGAAGTTAAAGATGAAGTTTCCTACAAAGATCCCCAACAGGAAAACTAAATGTAAATCAGCAAAGACGTCAAATAGCAGCAACCTGAACGAGAGTCTGGACATCCTGAGACTGGACGCCAGTCTGAGTCTACCAGACACCAAGATCCCCCAGTACCAAAGGGCTGCTGCAGGTAATAATACTAATACTATGAAATACTGCAGTACTCAGTCTGAGTGTGAACATGATCTTACACTTAAACCTGAACCCTCTACAATAAGAACAGGAAGTTACACTGACGTTATAAACATGTTCTGTGTTTACACAGACAGTGTGATGGCGTTGCTACGGGAGATTGGACGCGGTTACCAGGTGTTGTGCTCGTACAACTGCAGAGAAGCTATCAACATCCTGACCTCACTGCCTCCTCAGCACTACAACACCGGCTGGGTCCTCACACACATCGGCAGGGCTTACTTTGAACTGGCCGAGTACACACAGGTAACACACAGGTGACGCACCTTATTGACAGCTGCGTCAATAAGGTGTGGCCCGTGAAGAACCCTGAAGCGCCACTCCTACATTTTATACTTGTGGGGGTGACCTGATTGGCGTTTGGTTTCTGTTCACGTGGGTCATGATGTCATAATGTTTGTTTGTAGGCGGAGCGTCTGTTCAGCGAGGTTCGTAGGATCGAGTCGTACAGAGTTGAAGGAATGGAGATTTATTCAACTACACTGTGGCACCTGCAGAAAGACGTGGCGCTGTCCGCCCTGTCCAAAGACCTGACCGACATGGACAAGAACTGTCCCGAGGTAAGAACTGGTCCTGTCCTCAAACTGGACTGAGCTTGGATGTTTGGTTCTGCCCGGCCTTAAACCTGGACCCTGTCAGACATGACAGGGTCCAGCCTGACCCGACATCAAGGGTGTGGTTTTTTGAGAATAACTCATTTGACTAAAAAACAACCATATATCAGATCTGAATGGACGAAATATTCAAGTTGAAAATCTTCCTTGGATAATTCGATGAGAATGAATAGAAACCAAATCCATGAACCTATAGAGGGATAGATTCAAAATCAAAGTGAAAAACCAAACCCACGTGCCTGTATGCCCCCCGACAAAGTCTGGGCATGCTCCTGATGAGACGACGGATGGTGTCCTGGTGGATATCCTCCCAAACCTGGATCAGGGCATCAGTAAGGTCCTGGACAGTCTGTGATCTGTGATCTTGGCGGCGTTGGATGCAGAATACAAAACGTCTGTGAGGTTTTTTTTTATTGGATTGAGGTCTGACCGTGAAGACAATGGCATCAATGCCTTCGTCATCCAGGAACAGCCTACACACACTGACCACATCCTGGACATGGAGGAACCCAGGGCCCACTGCATCTGGAGGAACCCAGGGCCCACTGCATCTGGAGGAACCCAGGGCCCACTGCACCAGCGTAGGGTCGGACAATGGGTCTGAGGATTCTATCCCGGTACCTCACAGCAGTCAGGGTACCGTTAGTTGCACCTGGAGGTTTGTGCGACCCTCCAAGGATCTGCCTCTCCAGACCTTCAGTGACTCACAGTCAAATCAGTCCTGCTGGATGATGTTGCAGGCAGCATAACATTCTGGCTCACTAGCTCACTGTAGGTCATGTTGTAGAGCTCCGGGAGTGCTCCTCCTGTTCCTCCTCACACAAAGGAGCAGATACCGGTCCTCCTGCTGGGTCGTTGACCTTCTACGGCCCGGTCCAGGTCCTATATAGTCACCTGTGCTCTGGTCACCTTTCTGTCTCTGATAACCTGTCTGTCTCTGCAGGCCTGGTGTGTAGCAGGAAACTGTTTCAGTCTGCAGAGGGAGCATGACATCGCCATCAAGTTTTTCCAGAGAGCCATCCAGGTGAGCCCCTGTTACCGTGGTTACTGTTTGGGGCGGTTTCACCTGTAGGTCTCTTGTGTGTCTGACCCGTCTTTCTGTCCTCCCGTCTGTCTATCAGGTGGACCCGGGCTTTGCTTACGCCTACACTCTGTTGGGTCATGAGTTTGTTCTGACGGAGGAGTTGGACCGAGCTCTCGCCTGCTTCCGTAACGCCATCAGAGTGAACAACAGACACTACAACGCCTGGTACAGTGACCTCTTTAGTTTATTGATCACAGGGCCGATGGTTCGAGACCCGGTTCCTCTGACAGTGTCTGTGTTGCTCTAGGTATGGTCTGGGGATGATTTACTACAAACAGGAGAAGTTCAACTTGGCAGAAATCCACTTTAAGAAAGCTTTGAGCATCAACCCTCAGAGCTCTGTGCTGCTCTGTCACATCGGAGTGGTACGTAGCTCGTAGCATCCGCCATCGATTACAGCTTCAGTCTTCTGCTATCAATTAGTGATTGATGGATTCTGTGTTTGTGCAGGTGCAGCATGCGTTGAAGAAGTCTGATGCAGCTTTAGAGACTCTGAACAGAGCGATCGTGATCGACCCCAAAAATCCACTCTGCAAGTTCCACCGTGCCTCCATACTCTTTGCCAACGACAAGTACAAGGTAATCAATACCGATTTATATCAATCAATTCAGCCCTAACTATAAGCTCCTTAAGATATGATGGTACTCTCTAGTAGGATAATATGGTACTATAAGCTCTTTAAGTTATGATGGTGCTCTCTAGTAGGATAATATGGTACTATACGCTCCTGTTATGCCCGATGCCTCTCGGTACCAGAGGGGGTAGCATATACCGTCTCTCTGACCCGTCTCTCTCTCTCTCTCTCTGACCCGTCTCTCTCTCTCTCTCTGACCCGTCTCTCTCTCTCTCTCTGACCCGTCTCGCTCTCTCTCTCTCTCTGACCCGTCTCGCTCTCTCTCTCTCTCTGACCCGTCTCGCTCTCTCTCTCTCTCT